GTGTGTTATGCTTGTAGCAGCTAATGTAGCGTCGAGCTGCTAGCTTCAAAATTAATAGCGGGTTACAGAGATCTTATAACCTCACGTCATCTCTTATTTACTCAGAAGCCGTTTTCAGTGGAACATTAAGGCCAAATTTTATGTCTATAGAAGATTTTTCCTTTTCAAAATCCATGTTCTGATGCTATAGCACACTGTGTTAGGTTATACGGCAAAGTATTGGAGAATACCTATCAGTCAACTGTTACATACCACTTGAAATGCATGAAAGTGGATTGCCTATTGAGCTTTAAAAGATCACATTGAGCGAAATGCAAATTGTGTGCAAGCCTTGCGAAGCTTACAACAATGTGTATGTTCCAGTGATGAAAAACAAACTCAGAGACCTGTAGTCCTTTGCTTTCATTTACTATTATTAAATCCTGCTGGGAGTTTGCACTGTTGAAAAATGGCTTATTGCAGATAAGCTTGCCTCCCCACCCCTCCCCACTTTTCCACAGCCATTAAATTCATCACTGACCTCCTAAGTCTCAACAATCACGAACCTTCCAACAATCAATTCTCCCAGGACAGAGAGCTCCATCCATCTATACAGCAGGATGTTGCTACAGTACTGTTAGTGTGAGTATAAGAGCGCTACTGCATGCATCCAGGCACCCAAGAGCCCTGACTTCTTGGCACTGTTTGCGCCTCAAGCTGCTGGCGGGACAGCAGACCTCTCACCCGAGGGGGGCAGATGAGATCTCCATCACCATATCCCATCTCCTCCTCTCATCATCATCAACACACACCCTTCACCCCAACCCCTCCCTCTTCCCCCTCTCGCTTTCCGAGGTGTCTGGTGACTCTGGGCCCTGTTATCTTGCCCCTCCCTTTATTGTGGAGGAGAGGAAGAGAGAGGGAGAAAGAGAGAGGCTGCAGCCCACTACCACCATGTCCCAAGAGGCCCCTTGCCTGCTTGCCTGCTTGCCTGCCCCTCCTGCTGCTCAGTACAGCTGTGGCTCAGTACCAGACCCTGACCAGCTGGGATCTCAACCCTGCCAGAGAGCCACGAGAAGAGCCACAGTGTGTGAAAGCTCCTCGCCTCTCTCCCTCACTCTTCATTAGGTGAACCACACAGACACTGACTCCAACTAGCTGCCAAACCTCTCTGCTGGAGCTGAGAAAATCTTCTTTTTGAGCATGGCTGTGGCACCCCGGGCCCTGGCACTTCCCTGGTGCACTTCCCTGGTGCTCGCCCTGCTCAGCCTGGCACCGGTGCCCACCTTGGGAGGGTGCCCATCGGCTTGCAGGTGTTCTTTTGCCATGCTGCAGTGCCTGGAGCCAAACGGTATCACCAGCATCCCGGCACTGGCGCGGCAAGAGAGCGAGAATGTGACAGAGATGTGAGTATGATGTGTCACCTGCTCTGCATGTGTTTCTAAATGAGCCCGAGTGTTCAGATCAGATGCGCTCACATGCCTTGATGCTGGTAGTTTGGCAAGCTTGATTATCTGTTTGTGTTCAATTCTTGTTGTTTGTGATCGCTCTGGGTTGGTGTTGAATTAGTTGTGAGTGTCCCAATGGCGGAGTCTTGGTTTTAATGTTGCCATTTACAACCAGCTTCATATCTGAGCTGAATTTCATGTTAGGAGAATATTTGAGGATCATTTTTCATTTTGTCCAATTGTTTTGGAGAGTCTGTTAATCTAGTCCAGGTGTTAAAATGTGGTAATCGTAGAAATGACTCTACAATCATTGATAAGGTTTTCTGATTGAGTGATACAGAAGCTTCAGGAGTATCCAATGGAGGAAGTTGGAGCTGATACATTATACTGTTCAAGGTTGTGCAACAAAGTTGCTTTCCTTTGCTTTGACTAAGTGCTTCTCTGCATGCTAATGGATTTCCATGGTTCGAAGGATCTCAGCACTTTTGGCTCTTGTAGTATTCAAATTCAATATAACTATTTATCCGTTAGGAACTTCATTCAGGCATACACACGATTAACAAAGAGTAAACAGCATAAATAGAAGTGCAATTTCAAATGTTTAAATGCTGGTTTTAAAATGTTTAAAAATATTTTAAATGCCACCAGTAGGGTTAAGTGTGCCCAATAATGTCCCTAAATAAATAATAAATTAGATGAAGATCCCAAACCAGCTCAGGTATTAATAAGTCTGTTGTGGAAAACCACAACTCCAGTTTTGTGGGTTTTTAATCTGGTCACATGTTCATATGTTCAAGATCTTACTCTTCTTTTATTCAAACTCATTGAAAATACAGTTAAAAATTTGCTTTAAAAGTATTTTATCACCACATTTCACCCATTCAAATCGTTCAGTAGTTTCTGTTTACAACCCCTGAAAACTTGGATTCAAATCTTACTTTTTCTCAAAAAACATTAAAATAAAAACTTATCAACCTCTTAAACACACTTTATCAGGACTGTGTGGTTTGATCAGGTTTATGTCTTGGAAGTTATCAACGCACAGTCCCATGAACTCTATTATTAATGGCAATTGTAGCAAAGAAAGCACTTTTGAGGCCGAGTGTGACTTTTTATCTTCTCCTATAATAACAAACCAGCTTTTTCCATGTGTAAAATATCTACAGGTAAAAGGAGATGAATACATACAATTTTCTGAATGTTAACAACGCATTACATGTGCCATGCTTTCATTCATGGTGGAGACATCCCATGCTGTAATCAGAGATACATGTGGCAGGAAAATTGAGTATTTTTCAATTTTTGAGGCTCAAATGTAAATTCCAGTTCTGATGAAGGATCAGATGACCCGCGTGTACCAGTGAGGTTGTTCTGACCTAATTTATGTTCCTCTGTTGCAGTGGTTCAACTGGTGCTCAATAGATTAAATAGAAAAATGGCTGATGAGGTTCACTTTATGCCCCTGTTTGGAGGCTAGTTGGATGTAGGTAGTCCTTTTACAGCCCTATTTTCATTATCATTTATGGACAGATAATCCCTGTGAGAATGATTTTGAATAAAACCAACCTAAGTTATTGCTCAGATGAACTGAGACTTCTCACTCAGCTACAGCATGTCTGCAGCAGATGACTGTTATTTAATATTGGCTTTTTGAAACTTTGGATGGAAAAAGAAGTAGAAACTGACCACCTGTGATTTAAAGAGGGCTGCTGTATTATTATGCAACCCACCATCAGCTCCAACATGGAAAAGTAAATGTCACTCTCTGCACCACCACGCTGTTCTCTCTTTGTTCCTGTCCTCGGATCTGAGCAATTAGCGCTTGTTAAGAAGGAACTACATTTGTGAAACGCTTTTTTCGGTGGAGCAAGTCAATTTACTGTCGCTTTCTGCCTCTATTAGCCTATACCACACTCACCTCCTCTTTCACTCCCCCTCTCTTTTTCTCTCAACCCCCGCCCCCCTTACCTCAGAGGTATTTCCTTGTACCTGCAGCTAAACATGTTTCGTAGAGCTCAGGGTGAGGCTTGACATTCTCTCTGAACCATTCAATCAATAAGTGAGCGGGCCTTTCTCTGCTTCTGTTTACCACGGTGCTCTACATGCCAGCAAACAACAACACTTCACCGTATTGGCAGTGCAAGAGAATACAGCCGATACGCGGAACAAACAAGGGGCCATTAACTGTGGAACAGGGGCCGAAATTCATCATACGCTGAGTTATAAATTCAATTTCGTGAATTGCCAGTCAATGCCCCCACCCGGGAACAATAGATGATATACAACCCACTTGGCTCAATCCAATAAGTAAGGGCGATTGGTGATCCCAGGCCCACCTGCCCTGTAATCATATTATTTCTGTGTGGGTCAATCAGACATGAATAAAAAGGTTTGTGTGTTGCAGCTGACAAACAGAGAACTGGAAGGTTGAAACAATGCCACATGCTGAAAGTGGCTGTCATCAACTAGAAATTACTGCAGGTATTTTTTTTGGTATGTGCACTATACACTAATGCTATGGAGAAAGAATCCATATGTAATTAACTGGTGTATACAGAATAACACAGGTCTCCTAGTTTATCTTTCTATCCATCTATTTATCCATCCATCATCTTTATTCTGGTTAAGTGATAATCATTACTGTAAAATCCACGAAACAGCAGCATATCAGGAGCAACAGTTGATGCTTTTTCCAGAGAGCAGGACCCACAGAAACCATTAAAAATTTCACCTGCTGTGGTGTCAACAAAATGTGCTTTGGAAGCATTTTTTCGCCATATTTCAACCAAAACTTTGATTCACATCCAGAAGTTAAACTTTTGAAATGAAAATATTTGCATATAGCACAGTAATGTGTAAAGTTGTATAATGCCTTTTATGTCTCCAGAGGGAGTTGTGCAAAGTCTGATAAATTCCCTCTGATGATGTCACTTGAGTCAGCATCAGTTCGGGCTTAAGATTACTGGTTTGAAAATGTGGATGTGTGGAGTTAGAAAGAAGTTAGTTTAACAGACCAATGTACACTTCTCCTCATCTCTGCATTAGGTTAGTGGCTACATTAGCCACTACTAGCATAACTGAATCTTTGACAAAAGTATCGGTGCCTGAGTTGCGTTGTGGGTAATGTAGGCATCAGGTTTTTACAAGATAGAGGAATGCGTAAAATAACACAAGACAAGATCTCTTATACAGTGGTTTTGATGTAGGAGTGCAATGCTAAATTGGTAGAGTAGCCTACTACAGTAAGATCATCAGTACCTTTCAAAAATAAAGATGCAAAGACATGATTAAGAAAATAAAAACTTAAAAACCACTAGAATTCAAAATACACCCTACTCACATATTCAATAAAGATTGAGTACATTTATAAATTGTTCTCCAACAATAAAATTTCAGGTTAGACTCCCACAAACTAACCCTTGAGTTCTTCGTGCTTATTTCATTTGGCTTTAAAATATACTTATGTTTTTAGATTAGGTTGATGCCCATATACATTTAATAATATTTTTCCAATAAATTTTCATTGTGGTCACCTCAAGGCAGTCTGATGGCAGCTGAAAATACATTTTATCATTTCATTTTGTGATTATTATTCGGTTCGGTATTATGATGTGTTCAAGAGAGGGCTGAAGATGTTCACATTGAAAAAAATCCTTTATTATTTGAATCGAGTCAAAGAAGCGTCCTCCTGAGCTAAATGGACAACATTCATAAATAGCACGGGGGGGTGTAGTGAGAGGTGGAGGGCAGAAAATGAGGTGGACAGTTTGCTCTGGCAAGATCCTTGGTAGGTCTGATCAAGCAATCTATTCAAACATCTCATGAAAAGAGCTGGATGTCCTTGCGTTGAGTGCTGAATTGATCTACAGCTCACTAGTAATTTTGAGGTAGGCTTAAAAGAATTTCCCATCAGCCTCATGTACCTGGCACCTCAAATGAGCTTTGTGGTTTGTGGGTCCCTGGACATCTCAGCTGGTTTTGTTATCTGTTGTTAGTTTGTTCAGTGGATGTCAAGGAGGTCAGAGATGTCAGTGGGGTTGAATTTGGATGGTATCCTTCTTATTTAATGTATTTTCTTTATTATCTCACGGAAGTTCCACATAACCATGATTTCAATTCCCAGTCTGCCTCAAGGTTCCATGTATTTGTTCCCATCCAAGGCCGTCACTTTGTGCTGACAAGTGGTGGGTACATAAGGGCTCAGATGTGGAAAAAAACAAACAAAAAAACGTTTTTAAACTTCTTTAACAAATGCGATTTTAAGCTGTCTAATTGTGGGATTGGTATAAGGTAAGAGCACCTAATTACATCAGGTCGGGAAGAAAAATGGCACATAAAAAGGTCATAAGCCTAAACTTTCACAGAATCAATAATATGAAAATATGTCAACCACACAAGTAGCCTAAGTCATGCACATCCACAGCTGCAACACCATGTCAATCAAACAATACCAATATCACATCTACATTAGAAAGCACCAATCATAAACAGGATGTTGCATCTTCAATTTCTAAGTCTTCATCTGCAGCTGCCATGTCTTTGCATCTTTAATACTGACTCAAGTGACTAAGGATGTCGAACAAAAAGTTAGAAATGCGATCAAAAATGTTGAGAGTATCACAATTGATTTTTCATAATGTCTGCATTAAAATGTCTAAAAACACTAGACGTATGTAATATATTTTGTCTCTATCATATCTTATATCTCAGTGTGTAAGGACTTGGCTTGGGAACCGGAGGGTCGCCGGTTCAAGTCCCACAGACCACAATATGGAGTGTGGACTGGTAGCTGGAGAGGTGTCAGTTTCCCTCCGTGCACTGCGGATGTACCCTTGGAGCAAGGGCAACCTAACCCCAAGAAACTGGTCATGTTTCGGTGGCCCATCACTCCACTGCATCTCCTCCCCCTGTTTGCATTGTCACAGTGTGCATGGAAGGGTGTGCATTTTCAGCTGGTGCTGGTGTTAATGTGGTATATAAAATAAAAAAAGAGTGAAAAGAACAATTTCTCCAATAGGGGATTAATAAAGCCTTCTTCTTCTATAACTTCTACTTTCCAACAATGTTCATATTCTGGATCTTAAGTTGTCAGAGAAACAAATTGAGCTAACGTTAGCAGTCAACCGAACAGCAAAAACTGGTAAAAACTGTATCGGTTTTAATCACTGGATCTATTTGTTTTGGAAGGCAAATAATTTGGCTCCTGGTAAAAACGTTGAACACTGGAAGAATCCTAACCTGGAGACACTGACAACAACGGTGGTAAAGACTCCCACGATCCCACACTAACTTTATCTTTTGTTATAGTTTCGCTGTTTGAGACCCCCTAGCGGCAGAAATAACATATTGTATGTTCTTGCAGTATAATGGTAAATTCCTAGATGGTTAATTAACTGCCTTGTTGTGTCAATGCAGCATACTTTTTTAACGTTGGAGAAAGTTTGGAGTGAAGTTCGACCAACCATGACTCTGATTCTAAGCATAAAGCTTAAATATCGATATGTGAAAACATTAATTATTAAAATGGTGCAGGGATTTAATTATTTATATTCTTCCATGTTATTTTTTTTTTTACACATACATTTTTTCCACATTTCATGCAATTGAAATCCAATACCTTCCCTGTCAACCTAATCCAACAGGGGCCACCACAGGACAGTCAATCATAGAAAAGAAGAGTAGTTTAAAAAGAAGTGCAGTAGCAGCATTTACAAAAAGTGTTGGGAACATCCTCCCCAGTATCCCCAGTTTAAGTGATACCTATGTTCCCATCACCTTTTTTTTCAGTTGTTTCTCCCAACTCTGAATAATGATGCCTTTAAAAGTGGGTTAATGTTTTGAGTAATTAGCTGCTGAGTATTGACACAAACAGGACTATAAGTCAATTCAGCCACTTCTGTTGTTTTCAGTGTTGGATTTTTTATCTGAAATATGCCATTTCTTTGCTTTGAGAAAAACAGAGAGCCTTTTTGTGGTCTTATCTTTGGTACAAAACTAATAATAAAAGGGAAATCAGTATTTTTGTGTTCTGTCCAGCTGGAATGCCCTAAATGATAAACTCCTCTCTTTTGTTATTTTCTATGTCCCTGGTCAAGGAATTCATTCACCTTTTGTAATTTTTAGGTGTTCTGTTCCTTTTTCGTCTGTTTTCTATTATTTCCATTCAGCATGGGCTTAATTGAGTATTTACTCAACAAATGGCTGAAGGTCACAAAATAATGTATGTATTTACTCATAGCTACTCATAGCATTTACCTCGCTTCTCTCTCTCTTTCGCTCTCTCTCATTAACCAGTTTCATAGAAAACCAAGCAGGCCTGGAGAATATAACAGAAATTGATCTTTTCAACTACCGAGAGCTGAAGAACCTGTAAGTAATTCTTTCTTCACACCTTCCTGTAAGACAATGTCCAACAGTTAATGCTTCTGGATACACTAACACAACACTACTGAGTACTGTTTGTTCTCTATCTGCAATTCTCAATACAGTATGTCGTTCCAAACAACTCACCATCCAAACTTATAATGCATAATGATAATGCTAAAAGACGTATCTCAGGCAAAATTATAATATTATAGTACATTTTTGGTACATTTTTAGCCTTTAAAAAAACAAAAATACAATATCGAAACTCTTTAAATGCTTTTACTAATGCTAATTGCTACTACAGCCCAGTACACACTGCTGCAACATGTAGAGAAATCCAAAGCTTGACAGGTTTGCTATTGCTAGGTTGCTAAGCTATGATTGGACAATCATGGTTTTGCAGCAAGGATTTAGGATTAGTGAGAACGCTGATTTTGGGTGATGAGGCCCGGCTCACACAGTCCAGTTCATCCCAAAGGATCTGGATGAGGTTGAGGTCAGGGCTCTGTGCAAGCCAGTTAAGTTCTTCTCAACAAACTGGGAAAACCATTTCTTTATGGACTTGCCTTTGTGCAGGAGGGCATTGTCCTGTTACATACAAACAACAAACAAACGAAAGAATACAAACAAAAGGCCTTCTCTACACTGTACAGCACACTATTTTCCAAGAGATTGTACGCTGTTTGAATAAGATCTATCTTGAATAGAACTCAGTGGCCTTGACCATACCAGGAAAAACAGCCCCACACGAAAAGCCTACAAAATGTGCATAGGGTGTCTCCATACCTTTGGCCACTATTTGAAGGTAGTTGGATGAACAATCTCTAATGACCTCAGTAGAAAAATGAGTTTGAGATGTATAAAAGTCAGTTAGATTTATCTAAGAAACTAACATTTTAGAGCTTTAGTTGATTGACAGAAAATGGATTCTCAAATTTGAGAATTTATACAAAGTAAATAAAAAAACAAGCCATGTGCATACATCAAATGGGCATTGGGCAGGCCATTATTCACTGTTTTCCTACACTTTGTTTGACAGATTATTGATTATTTGACAAAATAACTGGCAAATTAATTGGTAATGACAATAACCCAACCCCAGATTTTATCTCTCGGACACTAACTCACACAAGTTTAAGTATTTCTGAGTTTTAATGCTTTATTTCTATCAAAATACTTTGATGTTTTGTTGTGTTTTCTCCCCCTCTCCAGCACGGTCACATTATGTAGGCTGAGGCTCATCTCTGCGAATGCCTTCCAACAAAACCTCAAGCTCCAGTATGTGTAAGTGTCCTTGTCGATACAAAAGGATTGTCTTGCCCCATGTCATGTTTTGACCTGTGTTGGGTCAGCCTATTTGTCCCTGTCAGTCAGTGCTCAGCTGCCCCTTTAATATTGCACATGTCACACAAAGTGAGAGCTACATTTCTCAAAATCACAGTGACTCAGATACTTGTTCAAAGAGTTGTATTACTCATCCACAGATCTGGGAAATTTGTGAGCTCATGTCAGATACTGAAACCACAAATTTCATTTATTAGAAGTGTTTTTTTCTAAATCGATATTAGGCTATGTAGTTCAACCACGTGTTTGTGACGTAGGATCCAATAATAAATACAAGAACGTTTGGACAAATTAGTGTATTTCAATATTAGTTCCAGTCTTTCTAATGTATTTGCTGTTTTTTCTTTAGGGTTTGGACCTTTTGTGAGGCAAAATGGGTCTCTAAAGTCAATTAATTTTGCTGCCAATGAAAAAAAAAAATTATATACAGTATATATAATGTACCACAGAAACATGGCATTGTTGTGGATAGTAAAAATCTATTTATTTGTAACCATCTCCTTTTTCAACAATCATTTAGAAAACAAATTTAAGCAGCCTGGTAGTTGAATTTTCGCATCTGTTTTGTTTTTTTGACGTTATATAATTCATGAACAGTTTGGCCTTACAATCCAGGCCCAACAATAAATAATGCTACAAAGACTTATCGACTGGAACCATCAAATCTGTCTATTCATCAGCAGCTGACTCTTATCACCACCATCTTGTCCTCATCGTTTTACTGAGCTTGTGCAACATGTCCGATGTTGTTTATCTAAAGGACAGGCCAGTTTCGAGGACCAGATATGGGGGGCGGAGGGGGTTGGAGTGAGGTAGGCGGGGAGAGCTCGAGAAATTGGAGAAGACATCCACCAGTCACCTTTTACTCGCTCACTTTGGCGGATTATTGACAACTGATGCATAATAAATACACTCCACTAAGGGTCCATTATCACTTAATCAATATTTTACTGAGGAGGGAGAGGCTGGGCTGAGGTTGGGTGGAATATAGGGGCTCCTGTGTGACAGATGTATTTCTAAGATTAAAAGGGACAGACTATAACAAAAGTTAACAGGGCACATGGAGGCTATGTCAGCTTGGACCACTTTCCTTTCTCTCCTTTGCCCCTCGTCTTCATCCACAATCCTCCTGGAACTCAATCGTCTTTTATAAAATTGCATTTAGTTCTTAAGAAAATGAGCCGCTATTCCCGGCTCTGCTCTCCCCCTGTGGGCCTGGCCAGGAATCGAGCTGGTAATGGATAAGCCCCAATGGCTAACCCATCTGACATGAACTTTTGGGAGCAAGGAAAACAAATAATTGAACCCTTGGCCCTGCCAGAGTAAAAATGTATTGGCTTCCATGTGTGCGCTCCCCAGTGTGGCTTTTTGTCATCTTCTGAGGGAGGTTTATTTACAGTCTGGTTCCTTGGCTGTCTGAGGATCAAGCTACTGTGATGATATTTTAGTGGCCCGAGAGGGTTGACAAAAACATACGCGGCATTCATATATATCAGGTTTATTATGATCGTCTGACATACACAATTTTAGATGTAGGATAATGTTATGTACAATGTTTGCTTTGACATTTTTTTAATAAAAAAAATAAAATAAACAACAAGGTTCTTCTTGCTTCGCATCTTAGCTTCCGTTCCTCCGAGTGAGGATGTTGAAACTGCCAAATGAGAAATCCTTCCATAGCGCCAGTCTTAAATGATGTCAGTTACTTACGTGCTGCGACTTAAGTAATTGGGATTCATCCTCGGGGAACCATGAATGTCTGGACAAAACTGTGTGCCAATTCATCCAGGAGATGCTAAGATATTTCACCCAATAAGTGAAAACTTTGACCTGCTGGTGGTGCCAGAGGGGATTTGCAAAGTCACGAGGGTTCATCATCTGGGGACCATGAATGTTAATATAAAATTTCACGTCAATCCATCTGATATTTGTTGAACATTTTTGTACAGCCAAAAGCTAGCAGGGCTAAAAACTCTCAGTGATTTTTATTAGTACACAAAAATAGTAAACTTTTCTAAAACCTTTTTACCACGAATGCAGTTCTTTGGCGTATTTCAGTCTGTGTAGCTGAGCAGCTTCCTTCCTCTCAGTGAATTGTTTGGGACTCTGGATTAATCACCTAATGTACTGAACACTAAGCAAACACTGAGAGGTGTGCTGGAGGTGTTTGTGAATGTAGCTCCTGGCTGGAGTGAAATACTTGCCAAGGTAATTGATCAGGACCCATTTGGATGCATTAATGTTTTCCACTGAGAGTAATTCAAAGCAGGTAAGCATTGCTCTGAAAGTGAGCAATCAAATCACAGTGTGACTCAACTGCAGAATAGGACTAGATTACAACAATGAAAAGAACATTTTTACTTTATTTTTTCTTTCATTTAGGCTGGGAATAATTATTTGTTTCTGAAAGATTTATACAGTTTCTCAAAGCAACATTTGAGCAGATGGCATGATTGGCATGATTTCAAGTACACTGCCACGGTAACATTACCTTATTGACTGTATGCAATTTTCTTTATCTGTTCAGGTGGTTCTTAGCTCTCTCTATTGTTGTGTTACATACTGTATAGCAATAGATCAGCAAAACAAATGTTGATAATATCATATGTATTCTCTCTTTGTTTCATAGGAACTTGGCATCAAACTCTCTGGAACACATCTCCTGGAGGGTGTTTCATTTTCTACCGCTGCTCAACCTGTGAGTCCCTTTAACCCGTAATGAGGACACTTTCATTCATTCAAATAGGTTTAAATTCCCACCAGGTCAAGCTGCACATGAAGGAGGAAATAATCTTACTGATTGGGCTGCACAGCGCCAAAAGGAGGCAACATAAAAAAAAGTTACAATAGTACAACCACCTTAATCTGCCACTGCCAGTGCCCATTCAGTGGCAATGGTAATATCTGTTCATTTAGCTGCCTAGGTCTTGCTCTCTACAATATGTTTTATAAACTGAGCATATGTTTTCCATAAATTTGACAACTGGTAATTCTACTTTTAGTGTATGTTGATGGCTCACATTATGAAAATACATTTTATATTGAGGTATTCAAGGTTAAATTTTAGGTTATTAATGGCTAAAGGAGTTAGTTCAATGTTATTTTGAGATAATGGTGGGAGGGTGTGGCAGATTTCTAATTCTAAGTCAAAAAGAATTTTTGCACAGTCCCTAAGTCAAAAGTTTTGACCAACTTGAACAGGTCTGCAGCTTTTAGACTCCTTAGAAACTTGAAACATTAGGCCTAATATCAAACCTAGATCACAGTCTGGCTACATTATTGAAGATATCTAAAGTTGGAGGGTATAAAAGGTTATTTTCTATCAAAAGGGAAAATCGAGATGTATATAAAATTAAAATTGTACTTTTAAATAGTGGTTCTTGTGCATTGTTCTCAGAGAAATTAGTGAAAAAGACTTAACCATTTAATATGTTGCCAGTAGATCTGATGTTGTGATCTGATGTGTGTCTTTTTTCTCTTCAGGGTTTTGAGGGACAACCCTCTTGTTTGCTCATGTGACCTCCACTGGCTCCAGCAGTGGCAGCATAATGAACGTGGTGACCTAGACAACCAACTATTGTCTTGTTTATCCAATGATCAGGAAGTGGCCCTCAACTCTTTGGTGATAGATAACTGCAGTGAGTTTGGCTTTCATTTTGTCTTACATCAAATCCCAGAAATATGTATTTTTAAACTCAAAAATGTGTTGTGCTTATTGATACTACATAGTTTGACCCTACAAGGTTTTCACAGTCATGTGCTGAAGAAAAGTTTCTCTGTGCTCATTTTAAATCTTTAACATATGGATATACCAACATGATTTTGTGAAATCACAGCCTGTGCTCATTCGATGTTTTGCCACATCCCTCGGCATCTCATACAGACAGACAAGGTACCCTTAAGCATTGTGTATGAGACACACTGGTCTTTCATCTCCAGTGTATCTGCTTCAGGTGAGGTAGTGTAAAGACCATGAAACTGGCCCCATGAAACTAAAAGTCATTGTTGACCGATGTTGAGGTTTTTTTAAATTACATAACATTCGACATGACTTGCCACAGTAATGGAAACGTGACTTGCAAGTCAGGTAACATACTCTTCTCATACAAGTTAACAAACTTGTGCATCTGTATAAAAAGCCGACAGTGTTTGAATAAGTTCAAACTAAAAAAAAGTTTACGTTCATTTCTTGTTTTTTTTTTTAAATATGTTGCTTTCCAAATGCTGTGAGTTTGACTTGTGTGGAGGCTGTTGGCTCATGGTCTTACCCTTTGTTAATGATTTTTTTTGTGATCATCAATTACATAATGAGTCCGCAATCCACCATTTTGTTTTCCTCTTTCTTTCACATGTGTAATGTGAAAACTTGAATCCTCCAAAATGGGACTTGTAGTTAAACTTATGAATTATTTTTTTATATCAATATTCTCAGATTCTTGATTTTTTTTTTTAATGAGGGAGAAGTAGGAAATGTTATTTTAAGAATTTTAAGTTGGCAATTGAATTGAAATTGTGATATTTTTGTGGAAAAACCATATCAGACACAAATGATTACTTAAAGCAAAGTATTTTTCTATATCTTAAATATGTCTGGAGGGAATGTTTAAATATTTTATTGTGAAGTTCATGACATTTTTAATCTTTACCATAAGTCTCCCTCTCATGTGGTGTATTAAATATTTGAAATGAGTCAGCTCCATCTATCTGGATTGAAAAAGAAAAATGAAAACCATTTGTCATTCCTATTCTGCATATTAATGCCTTAAACAAGCAGGTGCAGTGAAATGCAGGGAAGAAATTGGCCCACCATTGTTGCTTTAATCACATACAGTAGGAACATCTTGTTGCCAGGAAACATATGAGAGAGTTTTTGGCTCTGTGCTGTTTCCCTTAACTGAAAAAACAAAAATCACATTAGCGACCTGTGCTCATTGCTATGTGCTCATGCTGTTTCCTCTGCTGCTCTCAGGTCTGCCGGAGGTGACCATTTTCTCCTTTGAAGACAAGATTCAAGAAGGTGGCAACCTGACATTTGAATGTCATGTGACAGGAAGTCCAACTCCCAATGTGAGATGGAGAACTGAAGATCTCAAGTCTCCTTTCTTCACCCGGGTAGAATAATTTTTAAAGTATATTTATATATGTATATGTGCATGTCATACAGATATCAGCATTTTCTAAATTGTACACACATATACTGTATGTGTGTCCATCTGGGAAGGGCTGTACAGTTTCTAAAACCCTTTGAGGCAAATTTGTGATATTAGGCTATATAAATAAAATTTACTTGACTAGGTAAATCCAGCTTCAACCAACTCCATATTGTTTCCAAACTCGGAATGATCACTGTACTGTTTCTCTGGAAAAACCATCCACACCTCCATGTGTCCAAATATTTTGGCATAATTAAAAGATACATCTATTGATCATCTATATTTTTCTCTGTGTCCACAGCCATATATATATTATTCCTCTGTGCCACCAAGCTCCATTGTTGTCCAAAAACTATTAAAAACACATACACCTTTGCACTGGGTGACATTATGATAAACAGTCTACTGTAGTTTATTATGAGTCAGTCCCACACACGTGTCCTGCTGCCGAAAATACACACTAGAGCACCAAATCTGCAAATGCTCTGTTTACTATTCTTTGAGTAACTTTATATATTTAAATATGAATATATGTGACCTGTTTTAAATTTCTTCAGCAGGAACAAATACTTGAGCTCCAGACAGGGTCAGGAGGTTAGAAAGTATGGAGACTCAGGCTAACGCATTGAGTGCATTTACAAGCACACTAGTGTCCTAGTTATGATTTTTGTAGTGTCCCAGTTACAGTATGTGTTTTGCATCTGGAGTACTCCAATAAAAACCATATCCAGGTTTCTGAACATTCTCTGTTGGTAGTGAAATGAGTGGCTGATATGTTGAGAAACAGGAGCGTACCTATGTTCCCCGTGTCCTATGTTCCCCGGGTCCTATGTTCCCCGGGTCCTA